TACGTAGTTACGGTAGTAGTAGTGTAGTGTGTATATAGTATATATATATATATAGTATATATATATATATATATATATATATATATATAGTGTAGTGTGTGTGTGTGTGTGTGTGTGTGTATGTGTGTGTGTGTGTGTGTGTGTGTGTGTGTGTGTGTGTGTATTTTAGAGAATTACGTAACATAGTATAAAACATCTATCCCGGTCTCTAATGTGCATGTGGAATTTAGCGAGGTTCATACGATCCTGGCTCCTTGTTCGATATATATGGACCAAGACTACATCTGACTCCATTAATGGCGTAAAAGGTGTCAATAAAAATTCAGTCTCACCTCTAATGTATGGCAAATCCAGGCGTTTATAAGGAACATATCGTCCTCTTCAGTGAATGCAAGCCGCATGACCACACAAATTGTGGCGACAGTTGTATTTGATTGTGTATAAGGATGTGTCTATAGTGTGGTCAAGAACGCCAGAGTGTATGGGTTAGTATTTAAAATATAGAGTTTACATATGCTCACAGAATTTAGACATATATACAAGTACTTCTACATGTCCATAGTATGTGTACACTGTGCCGTTGTAAACGAAGTACTGGCTGCTGCCTGAGGCCCGCCTGAGGGCCAAGACGAGGGGCTTTTTTTTTATTTGATTGGTTCTTCATATCAACCAAGATGCCACACACGAAACACTATTTTTTTGTTTATGTATTTATTTTCACAGTTTTTATTGTTTACACTACCAGTTCGCAGTGTATCAGTATCAGATTCAGTAAACTTCAAAACTGACGTTGCTGGCCGCAGCTCATGTCATGAGACTCTTAATGAAAGTTCCCCAGCAGAAAGTTCCAACTCCGTCTCCAGCTCCAAGTCCCAACTTCCTAAGAAGTCCTAAACGAAGAGAGATGTGACCTTGTGAAGACTGTGAGAACTTGAGACGACACAACAACAAAAGAGAGAAAGGAGGACTGAAGTAAACAAAATACATAGACCGCCCGCCTAAGTAATTTTTTTTTTAAAGATATTCGGAATTCCCGACAGTGCACATCATATACGCCACATATTTGAACACCTGAGTGCTTCCATACTTACAACGACTTCTTTAGTCGCGTAAGTGCTGCAACTATTTAATTCATTCCATCGAAGAATGCAGGCTGTACTTCAACGTGCCACCCTCAGCAGGCACGGCTACGCACTCAGATGTGCATATACAACGAGGGCTGCCGCAGCAACAGGTGCGTCGCATGCACTCCCATTGTTTGACAATGTCAAGCTCGAACGCAGTGGCAAAGGCACCACTGTGCTCACAATGTGTCGCGGACCAGTGAACTCGCTAAATATGGAGCTGTTACAAGATATTGATAATGCGATTAAGGCGGCTGAAAAGGACAGCGAAACTAAGGTATGCAAGTCTCCGGGTTCGTGTGGCGGTGTGAAATTTATATGTATGCATATAAGTATGTATTTATGTATGTATGTATACATATATGTACGTCTATGTTTATGTTTATACATATGTATTTTTTGTATATTTATATATATATGTTTGTGTGTGTGTGTGTGTGTGTTTGTTTGTTTGTGTGTATGTA